CCCCAAAACCCCAAAACCCCAAAACCCCAAGCTACATTACAATAATTTTTGCTAAATTTATTCTGGGATTATATTTCCAGTCATCTTATTTTGTGGTTATTATAAAATGAATGGGATATTTAGATATCACTCATTATCTTCAATCTCCTCAATATTAGAAATCTCAGTTGATATCAAAGGTATCGCGGTCATTTCATGTGAAAGTTTCATCATTTTCCATAAATCATCCTCGAAAAAGCTCTTCAGATGATATTTTACATATTATCTCTTACTTTCTTTTAAAAGCAAAAGCATCAATGTCTTTAAATCTATGAATAATGATAATTTGAATGCATATTATACCAATAATATTTTTGAAGGTCTGGATTGGATTCTAGTGTATCTAAGTTATTCTCTTTATCAAATCTTCATAATTAGGTAACATACCTATTCTTTAGAATCTTTCTTTGATTATCTCAAGGTTTTTAATTATAAGATGATTCTCAAACTAAAAGAAATTAAAAATAAATTGAATTTTACCTTTTAATGAGTGAATTTGATGTACGATGAAACTGATAGTATTGATTTTGAATTAATTAAGACCTTGAATTATTCAAAGGTAAGTTTTTGTAAGTCTGAACAGTACTCTGAGAAAATAGACTCAGTTCTAGATTTCTTGGTCTAGTCAAAATTCCTTATAAGAAGATGGAATTATTCGAATTCGAGTCCATCTTCTATACACTAATCTTCCTTTTATACAACTTCAAATAAGCATCTTGCTGTAAACTCAATGTAGTCAGTGGTTAGAGATCTCCATTTAGGTATCAAATAAAGTGTTATTTGATCAAAATCAAAGACTCCAAGTCTATTACCAAATTTGGGATCAATTTATTTAAATTAATCAAGATCTTTTTTTATAAGATTCAAAGCCTCATTTTATAGCTTATGGCTCTCAAAAATATATCTTAAGCACTCAGTAACCTTCACAAAGGCAAAATAGTGATAGTCATTGAAGTCTTGATTATCAATCTTGTTACCAACGTTGAGGTTATTGAGATAGTTATATATTCCCAGATAGAAGGTCAAATCTTCATTTAATTTGTTGAAGTTTATTTTATCCTCACTTTCCTAATCCAATCCGATGTGCCTAGCGAACATCTTTATCTTAAAGGTTTAATCGTGGTATTTCTTTACAGAGTTCAAGAATTAGGTGTATTTCACCTCAGCTATATGCTTTAGTCCATACCGCTTGATAAACATATCATAAACGAATTCGTAAAGTTTATCATTTGAATGCTCTTCACTTTAAGATAATAAGCACTCTAGTCTAGTTTGATACATCAATGTAATTGTCTTGTTTACCATTTTTCTTGGAATTATTTTCTTTATCTTCTTTGGCTTCTTTCTGATAATTTTTTGGAAAATATATTAAGCTGGGTGAGCTTTAAGAGTCTGCTATCTTCGTCTCTGCCCTAACTAGAATTCGTTAAATTCAGTTGTGCCGGGGATAGTGAACTTAGTGAATTTATGTTTATCTATGTTATGTCTCTTGCCAATGCCTGAGTTAAAAGATGCTTATAGATCTTAATTTTCATGAAATCTACTATCATTTTGCAATCCATGTGGCTGATCATAACCCAAATTGGAACTCCTATTCTTTTGTAGATCAATCCCACTCTAGTGAGAACTTATATTTATCGAATGGTGTCTGGTGTTATTGTGCTATCCTTTCTTGACATCCTTTTTTACCACTAAATTTTCTTGATGCTTGTCAACGGGAATTTTATTATTTTGACCACCTGGAGTACTGAACTATTCAATAGTGATATTTTCCATATCCTCATGAAAGCTTTAAAAGACCTTATTTTGAGAGTTCATGGTCACTCTCATTAAATCCTAATACATTGTAGTCTTTATCTCATTTTACTAATATATTTCATCATCTGAATTGTTATCTAAGCTAGCATTCTTACCGATATTCCTTGATTTGTTTTGATTAATCTAAATTAAATTCTGTTTTATCTGCATATTGATGAGCTATTTTATTTCTAAAAGCTTTTAAGCTCCATAAAGCTTTGCAAGATCGGGATCTTTTTCTATCATTGCTAATAATTCCAATAGTTCTTACTCAGATAGTAAACTTAGATCTTTAATTTTACTTTAGAAATCCTCTAAGTTTTTTTATTTTTTAGAATCAACATTCTTTATATGAATTTCCTTTGAAGCTATTATCTTGCTAGCACTAAGTTAAAGTGACTGGTTGGAAATAAATTAGACCTTACCGCTTTACACACTTTCAAAGTTTAAATTATGATTAATGTGAGTAGAATCTATTGGAATCAGATTGACATCAAAGGTTGTATTTTCTATTTTGTTAAATACTGAATTCATCTCAGTCTTATTGATCCCACTCATTTCGTTGGATTCATTTTTATTAAGGAAATAGTTTAGATTATCTTAGCCGTTATTTTACCTTAAATTGTTTCTACCAGCTTAGTTTGACTTAAATCGATAAAAATTTTAGTCTTTTGACTAATCTGTGATCTGGATAGTATTATATTCTAATCCATTAGTAAATAGCTTTATCTTATCATTTATCTTGTACTTTGTTTTGGCAAGATTATTGGTATCCATATTATTTCTATAGTTGCTTTGATTATCGGAGCCATTTATGTAGTTATTATCACTATCTTGCTCATTATTGCATTCCTCTTATCTTTACTTTAGTTCTTTTTCATCAACTTAGGTACCTTTCTCTTCAGTTTCATACAAATCATATATAATCTCCTTTTCCTTATGTACTTTATAACTATCATTTTCTAATTCCTGCCTTTAGAATTCTTTATCTAGCTAACTCAACAAGCTATAATCATCATCAGTCTAAGTTCTGAGAAACTCTGTCTCCAAGTTTAACAGTCTTTTCTTTTTTCTTTGGTTTTTCTATCTATTTTTATGGCCTTATTTGGAGCTAAGATGAGAATGAATATCACTTTTATCATCATTTTCCTAGGCAAGTATATTCTTCTTCATAAGATTCAACTCCATTCTTGTTTCCTTACTTTCCTTGAATAGCTTCTTATTAAAATCCTTGAGTTCCTCATTTTACATCTTAGCATGATCCAACTAGTCTTTGGTTTCATTAAGTTATTTCTTTAGCAGTTCCTCACTGATCTTAAGTTCTTCATAATGATTCCTAATTCTGGCCATTTCCCTATTAAATTTGTGAATTTCATCATTAGCTTCTTCTCTTTTATTTTGATATGAACTCATAACTCTTTGTATTTTATGTCGATACTTTAATTTGAAATCTTTTTTCATCTGCTAGAACTTAATATGCATTCCTTCAATTATGCAGAGATAAGCATTGAAAATCTTTAATAATGCATAACCTCTCTCAATACATTGGACACTTACTTGTCTAATGATTTCTTTAAAAGCAACATTCATTAGAACCTAAATCATTTCAAGTCTCATTTCTTCTATTGTCGCTTCGTCCTTAGATTGATTTTCTAAGGGTTCCTCTATTTTTTGAGAGAATACCTTAAGTTTGCCCATCATACTATCAAGCCATTTTAGTAGGATTATTGCATCTTTACGGCTTACTGGCTAACCCAGAGAGTTTTTATTAATGTCCAAATGATCTATCCTTGCATCTTTTAGTGATTTCTCCTAAGACAATGTCTGGAATATCAAGTTATCTTTTCTAAGAAGATGTTCTAAGTTATGTTTCTTAAATAGCTCTTGAAACATTTCTCCAGACATCTTATTTTCGAATGCCTAATCAAATTAATTTAATATGGTTGTTGATTGATTCTTAGGAATCACTTCCTTTATGAAATGGAAGTTTAGCAAATTAAACTCATCTTAGGTTTGAATAGTCTCATCATGATCCTTTATCTTTGAATTGGAGCTAAAAGGATTACTTATTGCCTTACTTATCTACCCAATAATATCCTCTAATGTTGTATGCTAAAACTCTGTCGTTTACATTAGATTATTACTTAGTTTTTTGTAATTTACAAATCTCTAAATATCATCGAGATTAGTTGGCAAGTTAAATCCTCCTCCACTTAAGTTATTTAAAGTCTCATCATTTATAGTAGAAAATTTATCTTTCAACTTGATCTGATTCAAAATCTTAATACTAGGCTAATCTTTTAGATAAGAAATTTCATGAAGATTATTAACAGATGTTGGCAGTTTTGGGTTTCTTTGAGTGTAAAATCCTTATATTACACTATTGTTCGTATTATTAATTATTCTAATATTCTTTTTGTTGATCAAATTTGCTATAAGATCACTTTTGCCATCTTGAGATTACTGAGATGTTGTATTATCTAGGAAGAATCTTGAATTTTCATTGACCTAGTAATTTTAGAGAGGAATAAGTAGTTTAGGCCTTGCCTCTTTAGATCTATTGGTTCTTGAACCTTCGAAAGGATATTCAGTTGCTCTTTTTTCAAAGTAATCGTTTTTATTAGCAATATTGTTAAGTTTAAGATTTTTAAGAAGACTGCTCTATCTTTTATGGTTTTAGCCACTTAGATTCTAAGTGATCTTTATTTCTGTGAGTCTTGGCATTGAAAAACTTTTTATTATGCTTTATTATGTTTAGTCTAATTTAGACTCTTCAATTAGGTTTGATGACATTTTTAATTATTTTTTACACTTTATTTGATTACTATAAATCCATTAAAGCTGGGGTTTTGGGGTTTTGGGG